TTTTAACTACAAAGCCAGGGGAACAGCAATCTTAATTAGGAAGGGGGTTCCATTTGAACACTCTGAAGTGATATCAGATCCTAATGGCAGATATGTTGTTGTAGTGGGCAAGCTGTTTAACACACCACTAATACTGGCTAATATTTATGGACCTAACTGGACAACGCACAGTTCTTTCTTAATTTTTTTTCGACTCTCCCAGACCTTGTCTCCTATAAACTAATTCTAGGTGGAGACTTTAATTGTGTCCTTTCTCCCCAGCTGGACCGATCAAGCGTAAGGTCGAGCAACACCCTCTCGTCAGCAGCAGTGGCTATTAATTCCCTACTTCGTTCTTACGGCCTATCAGACCCTTGGCGTGCAACAAACCCATCTACGAAGCAATTTTCCTTTTTTTCCCCTGTACATCATAGTTACTCCAGGATTGATTACTTCATTGTCGATAACCAGCTACTTCCCTTAATTTCCAGCACCAAATACCACAGTATAGTATTGTCAGATCATAGCCCTGTGCAGATGGGTCTGGTTTTTCCAGGTAATGTAGCGCCCCAACGAACGTGGCGGCTAGACCCCCTATTACTTTTATGTGAACGCTTTAAAACGTTTCTCAGCAATCAGATTGACTTCTTTCTAGAAATTAATGACACCCAGGATGTGTCGAGGGGAGTCTTGTGGGAGTCTATGAAAGCCTATATTAGGGGCCAAGTTATTTCTTATGTGGCACACAGAGACAAGGAGCGCTCTAAACAACTTAAAGAATTGGCTGACAAGATTGCGGATATGGATAGGCGTTACGCTCTCTCACCTACGCCAGATCTTTTTAAGGAGAAATTACTGTTGCAAACTGAATTTGACACGCTTATGACATGGAGAGCCGAAAGAAATATTTTTAAATCCAGGCAGGTATATTATGAGCATGGAGATAAAGCGGGGAGGCTCCTTGCACTTCAGCTCAAACAGCGGTCAGCTGAGCGCGTGATTTCGGGAATTGAAATAGGTGCTGATTCGATATCTCACGACCCCCGAGTCATTAATGACCAGTTCAAATATTTTTACTCTACCCTATATCAATCAGAGGTGGGCAGTAATTCATCCGAGATCTACTCGTTTCTTGACTCGCTGGATCTTCCCAAGCTCTCTCCGGACGCTCAGTCGCCTTTGGAACAGCCGTTGTCGATTGAAGAGATAACGAACGCTATTAAATTATCTCAGACTGGAAGGTCGCCAGGTCCAGACGGTTTCCCCATGGAGTTTTACAAGGAATTCTCTTCGAAGCTCACACCTATTTTAGAATCAGTTTATGCTGAATCTTTTGCTACTGGCAATCTGCCGCAGACGCTTACCCAGGCCACGATCTCAGTCTTACTAAAGAAAGATAAAGATCCTGTGCAGTGTAGCTCATACAGGCCAATAAGTCTTTTGTGCTGTGACTATAAGATTTTAACCAAAACTCTTGCACTACGGTTGGACCCTATTATTTCCACCATTATTAATGAGGACCAAACGGGCTTCATTCCCGGACGGCAGTCATTTTTTAATGTGAGACGACTGTTTAATGTGGTATTCTCCCCCCATTCGACAATACAACCGGAAGTTATTCTGAGCCTTGACGCTGAAAAGGCGTTTGATAGAATCGAATGGTCCTACCTTTTCACAGTTCTGGAGAAATTCGGCATGGGACCTACTTTTTGTAGATGGATTAAAGTCCTATATTCAACGCCTATGGCTGCAGTCAGGACAAATGGTCTGATTTCGGAATATTTTTCGCTCTACAGGGGGACGAGGCAGGGCTGTTGCCTGTCACCCTTCCTGTTTGACATTGCGATCGAACCGCTGGCAATTGCTATCAGATCTGATGAGAGGATTAAAGGTATATCCAGGGGTGAGGTAACTCATAAAACTCTGCTTTATGCTGATGATCTCCTTTTGCAGATATCAGACCCAATTGGGAGTATGCCCCACCTTTTCCGCTGGCTGCGGGAGTTCAGCAACATATCGGGGTATAAGGTTAATTTATCAAAATCTTTACTGTTTCCATTGAACAATCTGGCAAAACTGACCACTTATGACGATTTGCCTTTTAAAATTGAAAATGACAAATTCACATATTTGGGACTGGAAATAGCTGGCTCGATTAAGACTATTTTCCAGTATAACTACAGGTCTATTCTGGACAGTACTAAATCTGATCTGGGTAGGTGGTCAAAACTTCCACTTTCGCTGGCAGGACGGATAAATGTGGTGAAGATGACTGTAATGCCCAGGTTTCTTTATTTATTCCAAATGATCCCCATCTTTCTCCCCAAATCCTATTTTGCCCAGCTGGATCGCTTTGTCTCTTTGTTCATATGGAACAAAAAACCTGCACGCATAAGGAGAGCAAGCCTGGAGAGAGCTAAAGCTGATGGTGGTTTGGGCTTACCTAATTTCTTATTCTATTATTGGGCTGCTAATATTGTCAAGCTGACATATTGGATAACCATGTTTGCGGATGGGGAGGGTCCAGTCTGGGCAGATATGGAACTGAGAGCTACACTCCCAATCTCTCCGATTTCGATCTTAACTGCCCCTCTCCCACTGAATGTCAAAGCATCTGGGCTGAACTCCAATTTGGTGGTTCAAAATTCAATTAAGATCTGGGGTCAATTCAGGAAACATTTTAACTTGACAAATACTTGTAGCTTTTCTCCGATAATGTTCAACCATCTTTTTACACCATCTCAAATAGATCATTCATTTGCAGTCTGGCACAGAAACGGTCTGGTTTTCTTTCAAGATCTCTTCACTGAGGATGGCTTTGTCTCATTTAAATATTTGTGTGAAGACCATAACTTACCAAAGTCTCACTACTTCAGATACCTTCAGGCTCGGAGTTTTGCCTCTAAATTTCTCCCAGGGTACCCGTCTCTGCCCTCTAAGGACCTACTGTATCTAGTTCTTAATGTGAGTCAGCCCACTAAAAGAGCAATATCGAAGATTTATGCATTGATTCTTGAAAGCTGCCCTCATACATGGGACAAACCTAAGGCGGCGTGGGAAGGGGAGGTTGGAGAACTCATATCAGAAGACATCTGGAAGAAAGCCATACAGCGTATACATACGTCTTCTCTCTGTATTAGACATGGCCTGATTCAATTTAAGGTCGTCCACAGGCTCCACTATTCTAATGACAGACTGTCTAAACTGTACCCTGATGTTGCACCGAATTGTCCTAGATGTGATTACTCTCCTGTTTCTTTGGGGCACATGTTTTGGTCATGTCCCTCCCTGTATGGTTTCTGGACATCAATTTTTCAATCACTGTCAGCTATATCGGGTGAAACACTGCGGCCTGACTCTTTGATAGCTATCTTCGGTGTACCTCGGGAAGAGCTGAGACTCTCTCCCCTCCACAAAAACGCAATAGCCTTTGCCTCGTTGCATGCCCGCCGTCTGATACTGCTGAGCTGGAAGGCGTCGAACCCTCCTTCCTACGTCCATTGGATTAGAGAGGTGATGTTGGGATTAGCTCTGGAAAAAATTAGGTATACCGTGCGCGGCTTGGAGAGTAAATATGACAAAACCTGGTCACGGTTCATAACTCATGTCAAGAGTTTGTCTTTTGCCTGATTTATTGTTCTTTACTTGTTGGTAATTTATGCTCTTGCTCTCTTCTCGGACTGCTGTCCATAGTCTCCTCAATGCCCGTACTTTGACTGTTGGGATTTCTTTATTCCCTTTTTCTTCTTTGTTTCTTCTCCCATGTGCCGGGGTCCGGCTGTTGGTGCTATAATGACTGTCACAGATTGGTTTGAGTGTTTCTCCCCCTTTTTTTTTTTTTTTTTTTTTTTTTTTTTTTTTTGTGTTGTGTGTATTGTGCTTCCTGGTTGTGGGGATGCCACCTGGATGGGGGTGGGGGGTAGGGTTTGCAACTTTTGTAAGAAATTCTGGACTGTTTTGTTGGAAAACTATAAATAAAGTTGTAAAAAAAAAAAAAAAAAAAAAACTAAGTTGATGGAGTTAAATAACACACGTGGATTATAACTGTTGGAGGAAATTGTCTTGTATTAAAAGTATTCCCTTTTAGCCTCCTTGACTGTATCCTGATAGAGACACCACCAGTCCTTTAAGATTTGAAGAGACACCTGCAGTTTGTCCCTCTTCCATCTGCGTTCAGCTCTACAACACTGCCTCCTCACAGCCCGAGTGGTGTCATTAAACCACGGCTCGGTTTTAGCCTTGAGCTGCCTGGTTTTTAATGGTGCCACAGAGTCGAGAATAGCTTGGTAGGAAGATTCAAAGCATTAAAATCTGATCCTAAAACAAAAAACCTGCACTGCACCTGCTGACCTCGTATCAAATTTGTATTGAATTCTGTTTTTAGATTCTTTAAAAATATTTAATCACCAGCTAGAACATGTCTAGAGTAGGTGGCACTCATAGGGATCATTTTCTGTGGAAGAAGAGTCCCGTGACCTGCAAAATGCCCCTTTTAGATTGATCAGATGCTGCAGCACCATCCCTTTCATGTGAATGCACAGGTTAAATGCTGAGTTGATAATCAGCTTCGTGTGAACACTTATCCTGATCTCCAGTGTTAGGGTGAGTACAGGGCATTTTGTAGTACAGGGCACAGTTGTGATAGTTGATGGTAGCAATCTTGATTTATACATAAGTGGGCAGATGACTCAAAGCAGTGACAGTGGTGCTGAAACTTTGTGAGTCTGATCTTAAGTAACATTTCCATTTTACCGTATCAAAGCAGAGCTACCTGAGGGACAATACCAAACGCATCCAGACCATGGCTGTATAAACATTTCATTTACCACTTATGAATTGCTGTTGCTTTTATGCACAGTATCCAGCCTGTGTCAATCAAATCAAAGCTAACAGTCTGACATTTAATCGTTTCATTTCAGACGATCTAGAGTTCTTAAACTGTCACTGAAAAAAATAATTAAACTGAAAATGACCCCAGATATTCAGCAATGTCCACAGCAAAAATGCACTCATAGACCAACCTTATTGGCTCTCAAGGAGACACGCCCCCCACAGCGGCCGCAGAAACGACTCTGGCAGTAGCAGCATGCTCGGCCACAGCCATCGGCAAACTTGGTCTTGCGACAGATCCCGCAGGTTGGAGACTCTGCCCGCGCTGTCTGAGCCTCTGGAGACTCCTCACCCAGCTTCTTCATGTGGTCTTTATACATCTCAAACTGCTGATGTAACTTCCTGTGAGGAGGAGGTTTTTAGAGAGAGGAGAGGTCAGAGGGTGACATATGCTAAACTTGTACTGAAGTCTAAAGGACCAGTGAGCTGGTCCTTGTTTGGTTCATTAAAGAGGCGAAGCCAGGCATGTACGATTGGATTTGGACCTTCAGTGTCAGACTGCGACATGATGAATAAACACAGCATCAGGTGTCTACCTGAACTGAGGCTCAGGTGAGACACAAACACCTGTGCTCAGGTAAGCCTCTGGGTTTACTCACATCTGCAGCTCGTTGTCTGTTGGACTTTTAACCTGCAGAACTTCGGACACGTTGGTGGCAACGTTACTGACCAACTGACTGAACCCTGAGAATGGATTCCACCTGTCCAGGTAATACACACAGTCAGCTGACAGGAAGCACATCAGTGGGTGGGAGGGGCAGCGTGGGACACAAGAAATAGCTTATTGAGGAAAAGAGGCGTGGCTAAGGGAGTGCACTCTGGGAGATGAGGTACTTACGAGGACGAGGGAGGTTTCACTTCCTCCTGCTCCCTGCAGACATAGACATGATGGCGATGATGATGATGATGATGATGATGTCAGTGATATAATTAATCATGAAATAATATAAAAACAAAATCATAACAGAAACAAACTGAAACTGAAGCTTTAAATTAGAGCCCTGCATTGGGACTGGGATCCCACCCAACGCAAATCTCGCAGGAGTGGGGGGTTTTAAGGTTGCCGTGGGCAACAGTTGGTCTCAAAATTGTTAGCAGGACGAAGAGTGCAACTGCTGTTGGTAACAAAATTCAGATTGGAGAGTCTAAAACTAAAGAAAAGAGTGGAAAGATGGATATTTGGAAAAGTTATAAAATAAAGAAAGTAAAGCGCTGGACATAAAGTGCCACATACACATGCATTAATCATAGCGCGTTTATAATGTGGTTCACGTGACCAACTCACATTACAGTTGATAGTACTGCAGGACAAAAGTGTTGTTTTTTTCACCTGTCTCAACCCAAGATTAACTGGATAATCAATTGATTGAAGAAAAATGAAGACATGGAGAGACGCTTTATTTAAATCCCTGAAAGTGGCGATGCCTCTCATAAAGGCTCCAGTTCGATAACATCTACATGCATCTTGTAGAGAATCCCTCACCTTCTGCTGCTGCCAGGACGAAAGCTTTCAAAAGCTACAGGTACTTCTGATCTAGGTAAATAATGCAGTGTGTAGGAGGTGAAGAGAAAGAAACTGTTTGTTGTTAAAGCAAAGGTAAGTGCTACATAGTTCGCTTAAACGAACTACCACATGTAAATCTTATATTTTGTTGACTCGTACATTTACAGTGTAGTGTCAGAAAAGTTCTGGTAGTATTAATTTGTCACATTATTATCATGTTGCTGTGGAGAAGCAGGTATTGGTGGGATTTGGCCTGTAAGGCACGGCTAGCAGATGTACTCACATGCCATACTCTACATCCTTCTGGCAGCTGTAAATAAATGCTGATTAGTGCATCTGATAGCACAGAAACTAAATGGCATTTTGTTTAAGTTAAATGTGCGGACGTTTGATGGATGGCTGGAGGGCAAAGGACTGAAGTACTGTTTTGCCCTCAAGGAGGGTGAGTCCTAGTAGCTCTGACATCATGTGAAAGATAAATATCAATAAGTCTGTGGGTGCGGGCAGGATTGGACACAGACGGACGGAGTGGGTGGTAATGGTCAGAAATTCAGAGGAAGAGGGATTTTAAAAAACAAAACAAAACAAAAAAAACAGTCCCACACAGGGCTCTACTTCAAATAAGCAGAAACAGAATGAGACATCGAGCTGCTGAAACGGGATTAATTCAGTTCTCTTCTGCCACCACCAGGATGCGTCAGAATGCAACAACTCATCCAGTAGCACACACAGCTGAAACAGTTTGTTTGTTGGTTTGGCCAACCATAAAGGTAAACAAACCGAGCAAACAAACAAAGGATTCATTGAAATGATTTTATTAGTCTTCCTGTCACTTCACCAGTTCTTAACTGAAAATCAAACATAAAAGCAAAATGAACAAAATATGAATGAAACAATAAAATAAGTAAATGCACACGGTCAACAGTCATGATGCAGGCTTGGCCAAGGCCTGACATGATGTCACAGCAGCTCCATAAGAGTCCGCAAGCTGAGAGTCGGGAGGTCTGTGATTTATGGTCTAATCACATGCTGGCAATAAAATCATGAAAGTGTTGCGATGTCTGCCCTGTCCTGCCCTGAAAGGTTGGCAGCTGGTCTACAGTGTGTGCCATCTCTTTAACACAGCAATGTTTACATAGAAGTCATTGCTGATTGGCTCATACTTGTGACACACACCAAACAAACCACAAACAAAAAAGCAAAACAAACAAACAAAACTTTCAAAGCTAATCATGCTTGGGATAGGCAGTAAGTGACAGGCAATGTAGGGGCTTAAAACAACAAAAGAAAAAAAACATCCAACACACAGTGAGGACAGTAAGATGCTCGGTTTGACTTCACTGATGAAAGGGCCCACACAAACTAAACATTTTAAACAGACTAAAATAAAACTGTGTCAGATGTGTTCACAAAGACTGCTTTGAAACCCTTTGACCTCAGTGACTCTGCAGTGACATCTGGAGGCCACACGTGGTTACAGCACCTCACAGATAGCTACAGTCCTCAGACGGCCCAAAACCACCAGATGCTCTGATCCCTGTTAAACCACAAACCCCCTCATCCACCAAGCAACACCCACACTAATGGGATAACTGGATTTAGTCTGCAGTTACAGTAAACTCGAGAGACAGACTGTTAAGAACCAGCAAGCCTGTAAAACCTACAATATCCACCAGAAATACAGCAAAGCATTCTGGGAAAAATTCTGACAGACACTACTTATTCTACTGCAGCACAGCACTGTACAGAGAAACAGTGAAAACCAGCTCCATCTGCACCCTGCACAATCAAACTGAACACGCCAGTCCTCATTCTGTAGGATCTGTACTCATACAGATCTACCACCGCTGTCTCATCAAAACCTCCTCGAACAGGATGAACCACACTGAGATGGCCGCAGTTCATTTGGAAGATTTTACATTAAAAACACGTCATGAAGGATTTGAGCAAAGATTCCAAAAAATTTCAACATGACATAAAAATGTGACTTAAAATTATTCATCTATTATCTGATGAGCTTTCACATTTATCTGGTGACCTTCTCGAGTGAATGTATAAACATTTACTGTATGTAGATCAGGACAACACTCTGATGTGTGAGGAGACACAAAAATTACAAACAACTCTTCAAGGATGCATTTATGGTAAATGGATGCTGGGTCTGCCGGAACACCTCCTCCAGGAGGCGCCCAGGAGGCATCCTTGTCAGATGCCTGAATCACCTCAACTGGCTCCTTTCGATGTGGAGGAGCAGCGGCTCTACTCTGAGCCCCTCCCGGATGGCTGAACTTCTCACCCTATCTCTAAGTGAGAGTCCAGCCACCCTTCGGAGGAAGCTCATTTCCGCCGCTTGTATCCGCGATCTCATTCTTTCGGTCACTACCTACAGCTCGTGACCATAGGTGAGGGTAGGGACGTAGATCGACCGGTAAATTGAGAGATTTGCTTTTATGCTCAGCTCTCTCTTCACCACTATGAGAACCAGTCTATAATAAATAACACAATAAAAGGCTGATTGATCATTACAAAAACATTTTCCAGTTACTGGTGAAACTGATCTGCTGAATGAACCAATGAACCTCTGTTTAATATGCAGATCACCAGCCTATTTGATTTTATTATTATGTCAAAAATGAAGACATTTCAGTGGACTGTGTTGCTCTGTGAAGGGGGGAGTATTCATTCCTTAAATACTGACTGCTTTCAGCAGAAAGTTCTAACTCACTTCAGTCTGTGCACCACATTCAGACCAGTTTGATCACTAAAAATATTTCCCAGTGACCTTCACATGGTTCCCCTTTATTTTGGTGTAAAGAAGTTTAATTTCATTCTAAAACATCTCAGAAAACACCAAAGAGGCAGAGCAATTATGTCACTTCCTGACAATGCTCAGGAAAAACAACCTGGGTCAAAAGATGCTACTGCTAATCTTTATGCCAGCACGCTAAAAGATTAGCAGTAGCATCTTCTGGCATATTTATATCACAGCTTCAGCAGATCAATGAGCACAGCTCAGAAGATAGCTGGCCACTCTCTGCCCTCCCAATCACATCCTTGTTCTCACCTGAAGGATCTGTTGTTCTCTGCCAATCAGTACAGGTCCCTCAAATGAAACTTAGAAACAGCTTCTTCTCTGTGAGCTCAATATCAACCCAATTAAAAGTGATCAGTGAAACAGTTCATCAATCAGCCTAACCTGACATACAGCAAAATTTTATAGGGGAGTGAATTAGATTAATGATTGCATTAAGCAGTTATTCTAATACCCACATAGCAAAATTGGTATGGCCCGGATCTGGCCCGCACAATGTGCTTACACATGGCCCACATACCGCAAAGAATGATGGCCCGCACAAGGCCAGTTGCAGACAAACTGGTGGTCCTGTACTGACCCAGAACAGTTTCAGCTCTGGCACTAGATGTAAGCCTAATGTGTACCTTAATCAAGCCATGTAATAACAACGTGCCGGAACATAATACTGCAAAGTAACATGAAGAACGATTCTTATAAAGTGCTTTTCTACTCTGCCGGATTACGGAAGGCACTGAACACAACATGCCACATTCACTCAATCACATCCTTTCTATCAACTGAGTACGTCCTAACTACATTAATACACATTCACACTCTTGACATGCAGATAGGAGAAGCTAGGGAGATTGAACCACTAACCTTCCGATCAGTAGGTAACCTGCTCTACCTCCTGAGCTACAGCCACCCAGTGGTAAACATGAGTAAACCTTCACTAGGTTTTGGATAAAGTGTAAACTCACAAACCTGTCAAACCTGCATTTGAAATGTTTGCAACATGGGATTTGGGTCTTCAAACTAAAATAGGAAATTAGGAACATGAATAGTGCTATCAATGCCAGACTTGGCCCACATCTGGTTGGAATACACCCTGCCATGACACCAGTCAGTCAGAAGTGCCAGCTTGATGATAGATCTGGGCCAGACCCGTTTTCTATGAGCCTGGGCCACATAAACCAAACCACAATCGAGCCAGATACGGCATGCCATCACTTAAACAGTGACAACTATGCCAGGCCTGGCCCATATCTGGATGACATACCACTCAGCATGCCAGACGTCAGCCACTGCTGGCTGACGGTGATCCAGGCCAGACCAGCGTGCTGTGTGGGTATAACCATTTCTGATTAGTTTAATCGGTTTTGTTTTTAAGTAAACGCCAAATTTATGAGCAGCTTTTAAATCTTTACTTTATTTTATCTTCACTTTTTTTCTTCCGTTGCTGCCTGAACACCTGCAGTCTGCTTCTGCCACTGACGATCTGGAGAGGTCAACTTCTTAAACCTTCCTGCTGCAGCTGCTGAGGTTTTTTAATTAAAATGCTCACTGATGCTTTTATTTTCTCTGAACACCAGCTGATTCCATAATCAATAATCTTACTTGAGCATGCTCTTTTCCTTCGTCTCCTCCTCCTTCTGCCTCTCCATCACCGACAGGATGATGCTGCGCTCCTCCTCCGTCAGGTGGCTCAGGTCCGGCAGCTCCGGCCCAAGCCCAGGCTCCGCAGCCAGTGCCGGTCCAGCCGGCCCGGACATTGTGTCTGTGGGCCGCTGGAAGAGAAGGTAGCGTCGGTCAGGCCAGAGCCACGTGACTGGATCCCGTCATCATAATCATAAATGATGATGTTAACGACGAAGGCCAGGGAGTTGCAGAGTGTTCACATTATTTTGTCCAGCTCCAGGTGCGTTCAGCGGCTCTGCTGCCGCGGCGAAGGCTCGAGGAGCCGCTCCACCTGCAGCTGCACCTCCATCAGACCATCCACCATTCACCACCATCCTCCTCCTCCTCCGGCTCACCAGCAGGCGCAGCGGCGTCCTTTTGCTCGCTACTCCGCAGTCATGTCGCCTCCGGGGTCAGCGGCGGTTCCGTCCCGCTCCTCCCGGCCCTGCGGCCCTAATACTTGGCCTTCTGTGGTCGCGGTGTCCCGCTGTGGTTGTACGGTGCTTCTCGGCGATAACAGGCGCAGGGGCGAGGAGGAGAAAATAAATAAATCTTCACATGACGGGGAGGGAGGGGGGCACGACGTGACGTACTACAACAAAGATCAGCTGGTCGGGCGGGGGGGAGGAGCTAAAGATAGAGCTGCAGAGGAAGCTACAAACAGCGTCATCAGTCAGTCACCCAGTCAACTGATGGATCGATAACAAACATATTTAATAATGTGAAAGAATAATGGTACAGCGTAGAGCTGCCACTCAGACAAAAGAAAGCGTTAGTACGTTATAATATTGATATTGTAAGAACCTAAAATGTTTTTGCTAAAACGTGATAATTATGTATACTTTAATAAAGTGATATTGTGTTGTTCAAACGTGAAAAGTATATTGTACTGATAGTATATTGAACAAACATGAAAAGTATAACGTTAGAAAAACAAACTTTTCAGGTTATAACGTGATATAGCTCTATTTTTCTTTTGCCTGGGTGGCAGCTCTACGCTACAGTAAGAGCGCATTAAAACAAATTAAAAAATACACCACTTTAAATTTAAAGTAGAAAGTGTAGAATTCATGAAATACAGGCCGTCTGTGAATTCTAACAGACATAATTATAAACGATAATACAGTGTAATCGAATCGAAAAGACTGTAGTGCTATGTAACACAAGTTATGTCAAAGTATATATTATATTATCTAAGACATTAACTTGTGATTTTTAAGCTAAGTGATATCTATTAAGCTATAGGTGCTGCTGTTTCTGCGTGAAAATTACGGTAATTAAATTTTAAAAAGAGGCATCATGCAGGAATTTGCAGTGAAAAGAGTCTAAGGAAATTCACTGTTCATTGGCATTGCGTGAAGGTACAGCTGTTTAGACAGGTCAACCCTAATCTGACAGTCAGTCATTATTCACAAGTTAATAAATATGCGATAACGACCCGGCAGCATAATGAACTGCCAACCTGGAAAGTCTGCTGCCGATGGGCGCCGCCCTGCCCATACTTTCCAAACTGTGTTGTGTTCTTTTTGTGTTCAAATGTTGGCATAAATATTTTCTGTATGACAACGCTGGCATTATGATTGACTGGGTTTTATGTGCCTAAAGAAGAAAATGTGAAGAGTACTGTGCATATTATTTAAAGAAAATATGTTACAGTGTCCATGCCAAAGCTGTTTATGATTAAAGTTATAATAATCCTAATTATTCTGTATTTGTTCTTAATTATTTTAAAGTTAACACCAAAAGCAAGGTAATTTTGTTTGTTTGTTTATTACTTTATCGTAACAATGCTTCTGTGAAACGCAATAAATCCTATATTGTTGGAAAGCCTGTTTATTTCCCCTTAAATGGTGCCACTTTTTTAAGGAAAATGCATTTGTGGGTTGCTTTGCAGAGTTGAGTATGTGGCCTGAGCCCATGAAAAACTTCTTTGCTAGAGTCAAACAGCTGATTTACTCTTGTTTATTGTTGTGTTCCAACAATATAAAATGTGTTGCCAAGAAGCATTGTTACAACAAAGAAGTAATCAGCCAAAGACAAATGTCCTTACTTTTTGTGCTAGGTTTATCAACAGCAATATGCTGTGACAGGTACAGAGTACAAGGGAGCACTGTGGTTTAGAGACTGAAGACATCACCTAGAGCAATGAAACACTACTCCCACTGAAAGTCCACTAAACCAATCCCAGTGCTCCCTGTTTTTACAAATCACACCCTAAGTCTATGAGTATATGACAGAAAAACATACACATTTTATTCTTATTCAAACACTAACAGCTGTTTGAATATAAATTAATCAGGAACTGATCAGTAATTATAATCTGAGATAAACATAATTTATGTAATTTCCTTAGGGATTATTAAGGTATTTTGAATCTGTAACAGAGCGCCATCTGATGGACAGCTGCATTTTTGATCATTCCATTTGCTAAGTCAGCTTCATGTTTTCACAAATAAGCTGGGAATGAATATCTCACTACATCTGGTGCACTCTGGATCAAGTGAAAAAGCTTTCTAAAGAATTTTAGAGATGAATGACTATTCAGAATTACCCTGGAATTTTGAACATTTATCTGAACACTCCAAACTCCAAACACTCCGCTGAAAGAGGCTCAGCAGCATATTCACTTCCTCAGTGTGGTCTAAAAGCCAGGTCAACTTTTACTTTTCCCCCACAAAGAAATAAAAACGTTCAGAATCAGATAATCTCAGAGGGAAACCGAGACTGAGGAACTCTGTTTCCTGTTTGGAATCTAAGGGTGTTTTCAGACCTACAAGTTTGTAAACTTGTAGCTTTTACCCATGGTTAGGTTTGTTTTCACACAGATAAAAATCCAAGTGAACTGCAAATGAACCAAATGTGTCACTACAAACCACATAAGAATGTTCAGTCTGCTTACTGGCCAGTTGTGTCTGTTCTTGGTCTCAGTTTATTCCGCACGTCCTTCTTGCCTTCCATATGTTCCTGTATCTCTTTTTTGTCTGTGGTTTATTCTATAGACTCATGTATGAAGTCAGTCTTGTGTGAACCTTCCTTCCTGCAGCTCAGCTTCAGCCACTGGATATGTCACTTTATGTTTGAGACTGTATGAAGAGTTTTCTGCAGATTAAGAAATAATCTGTGTGCTGAGTAATATGTCTTTCCAGATATCTTCCTCACTGCAAAAGTGGTAACTGAAGGATTTAACAAATGATTGAGTAGTCAGATGTTTGTTCAGTACTGCATTCACTGTGAAACCTTTCTCACAAATGGAGTTTGATTTGCTTCTCTCCAGTCTGATTCCTCATGTGATATTTCAGGCTGTTCTCACACTCATGGCAGGAAAATGTTTTTTTTCTCTGGGTTCTTGGTCTCCCACTTAAAACGCTATGTCCAGATGAACAGAATTAACTTTTTGGGGTTTGCCCAGTACAGCTCTTTCCTCGCTTTGTATCCAATCTCTCTCTCTCCCTCTGTTTCAGTGCTTTTCCAGCAGAGACTTTCGCTATGTTCCCACATTCCATGATTTTGAATCCCTGTGTACTCAGTAAAGCTTTGTTAAAATTGCTGTCTCGATTGTGTCTGCATTTGGGTCCACTCCCATGTACTGGTTCCCAGGCCCCTTGACAACTGTGTTATTGCTTGCTCTAAATCAGGGGTCGGCAACCTTTCTGATGATGAGTGCCATCTAAAATTTCCTCAGAGGTCAATGTACCATATGGTTGCATTAGCAATCAATTTAATAACGGCCTATATTAACAGTTACACACATTTTGACAAAAGCCCAGCCCATCAGGTATTGTAACAGGTATGTAACAGCGCACTGCGGGCAACACGCCAGACAGAATAGGCTACACTAGGCTGGAGAATTGTCACTCGCCGCAGCGAGGTCAGACTGGCGTGTAAGCTGGCGAACGCAGGCAATATGCCAGGAGAACCCAGTCTACCACTCGAGCACGGCAGCTGGCTATCGCCGTGACAGAAACCCACGATATGCGGATGACGCTCCAGAAGGAAGTCGGAGCTGCTGGCTGGAGAGGCCGAGTCATAACAGATCCTCGCTTGGCACTGAGCAGTGACACAGTGCCAGGGAGAGACTTTTCGTGGCTGTTTTGATATTGCTCTCTCTCTTAACTGATCAAATCTCGCTGTGGTAGCAGCTTTAAACTCTGTATGACCCAGGATGATAGAGGGTGTCCAGTCTGGATCGCATTCCAGCATTTTGTATTCTGGTTTTCCTACAAAACACAACAAATATTAGCCCGCAAAGCCACAGTGAACAAAGCAGCATAGCGCAACAAATTTAATTCAAATCAATATAAGACTTATTTGTGACCTACATCAACAATGATGTTATGATTAATTACGTAATAACTATAACAGAAGACTTACCTTTGTGGAAATGCTTGGAGCAGACTAACATGTGAGCTGGAGTGCTCTGGAACGTTATATTTGGTCTTTGAATGGCTGCAATCCAGGCCATCCGTCGGCTCTTTGTTACTTCGGAAACATGGCTTGAACAATTTCTCTTCCACGACGGAATTCGATAAAGACTGATCTCTTTACCCGTTGGCTTCCCATGGCTGTCATGCGACTGGCTATTGCAGTTAATAATACTACAGCTTCTTGCCATTCTTTGTGTTTCTTTTTATCGCTGTGTGACTGTTTTCATGTGAAAGCCTGTGTGCGTTAGTACCACTTGCGACTCTTACCTACAATTCTTTGCGGTTCTATCCCGGAAATGACGTCACATTTTCAATCTCTATACACAAGAGGCTAATTAGGGGTGGAGACAGCACGGACAAATCAAGAGTAACAAGTAAGGGAACGCAAAACGTAATATAACATACAAGGTAACAAACATAGAAACCAGGACTAAGATACACAAAGTTGACATAGACAGAAGACAAAATATAGAGAGAGACATGACAGTCTGTGAGGAAACAGAGGAGTTAAAGAAACACAGAAACCAAAGTAGAGGAATAGAATGGAAATATAAAATAAACCGAACAAAAGCAAGCAAGGAACAAAAGATATTTTATGCAACCAAGAAAAAAAACATCAAACATGTGAGTATGAAAATATCTGGATATAATAACCCTTTACTTTCATAAGTAAAAAGTATTAGCATTGTACTTGGTATCAGTGATACTGCATTTGACCAATTTTTGCAGTATGATGTACCAGTTGTTGTAATCACGCCGGAAACATACTTTTATTTCGCGTCATTGTAGCTTTATTTTTAAAAGTGTCCCGGAAGTAGTAACTGACACTTCAGAGGACTTGACCCACCCTCCGTTAGCAGATTGAACCGCAGAGCCAGAAAGTCCTCCAGAGTTCGGTTCTGTGGACAGAATAGAGGGGGGCTGACATAGTTAACCGCCGGATGTGGAATTAAAAGCGGAAATGGAGGCGAGAAGAGGAGGTTAGTTTAATTCCTGTTGCTAGAAACGGAGCTGCTAAGCTAACGTTAGCATCGTGCTAATTTCAGCTTTTCCTTTCTCTTATTTTACGTCACTTCCTCTTAGCTCCTACTTGCGTACATAGCGTACTAGGAGGAGAGCGGAGGACTGTATTAAGTTAGATCTTAACTGAAACAGTTCCTGACGCTGTTCTGACAGCATCGGTCCTGGTGCCAGCAGTTATCAGTTTCTGTGCTTTCTGCATTTCACTGGGCGTTTCTCAAGTACACAAGTACATACTCGCATTCTTGTTAATCCGGAGCCGTTTCTCAATATGCGTACTTTTGTGTGGTGGGGGTTCTCTGTCTTAATTAGCAGTTCAAACATTTCAGAATTAAACGAGCAGAAGACAGTGTTACAGAGTGTTTCGTGTAATAACAATTATAACAAGTCTAAGAAGATACCAAACAAGGAATAGAATAGAATTCAACTTTATTGTCATTGCACATGCACAGGTACAGGGCAACGAAATGCAGTTTGCAGCCATTCAGAAGTGCTTTAGCCATGATATAGATATATTACAATATATATTAGCAATAATAGAGATATGTAAGTATATTACAGAAATGGGTCTATTACGGTATGTTATATGTACACAGTATGAAGTATGTTGTGAATATGCTACAAGTATGTACAGGCTGTAGTGAGTACAAGCTATGTACAGGCTATGAACAGGATATAAATATGAAAAAAAAACTATACAGAATATGAAATAAAGAACTTTACAGAAATCTGAGATATACAGCTATACAGAAATGGGAACTACGCAAATTGTAAACAGTTATAGAATTAAAAATGATCGTATGATTATTTACACAGAACTATACAGTAGTGCAGTTAAAAGGCTATATAAAGTGCTAGTGGTTGTGAGTGGTGGTTCAGTCCATGTTATTATTGTGTGTTTGAGGGTACAGTTGTCCTGTGTGTGTGTGTGTGTGTGGGTGGTTGTGGGTGTGCGTAGGTGGTTGTGGGTGTGTGTGTGTGTGTGTGTGTGTGTGTAGGTGGTTGTGGGTGTGTGTGTGTGTAGGTGGTTGTGGGTGTGTGTGTGTGTGTGTGTGTGTGTGTAGGTGGTTGTGGGTGTGTGTGTGTGTGTGTGGGTGGGTGGTTGTGGGTGTGTGTATGTCCAGTCCATGTGTTAATGTGGGTCAGATGTCAGGAGGCAGAGTTCATGAGTCTGACAGCTGTGGAGAAGAAGCTGTTCCGGTACCTGGTGGTCTTAGTCCGGAGGCTCCTGTAGCGCCTCCCAGAGGGCAGGAGGGTGAAGAGTCCATGTGATGGGTGACTGGGGTCTTTGATGATTTTCCCAGCCCTTTTCAGACACCGCTTCCTGTAGATGTCCTTTATGGCAGGAAGTGGTGCTCCGGCGATGCGCTGGGCAGTTTTCACAACCCTCTGCAACGCCTTCCGGTCCGAGGCAGAGCAGTTCCCGTACCAGACTGTTATACAGTTGGTCAGGATGCTCTCGATGGTGCAGCAATAGAAGTTCACCAGGATGTCTGAGGACAGGTGGTTCTTCCTCAGAGTCCTCAAGAAGAGGCACTGGTGAGCCTTCTTGACCAGCTTGGAGCAGTTGGTCATCCAGATAAGATCCTCGGAGATGTGGACTCCCAGGAACTTGAAGCTGCTCACACGCTCCCCAGCCGTCCCCTTAATGTAGATGGGTGGATGTGGGTCAGCATTCCTCCTGTAGTCCACGATGAGCTCCACGAGGAGCATAAGTTTATAGTTTTAATTGCTTTTATATTATGAGAATGCTGTACATTTTTAAAATATTGTCTGGTTTCATTTATAAATCATTGAAAAAACAGTTTTGCATTAGAAAAAGTGGATTTATGTATACGAAATTTAGCCAGTAAGATTAGTAAATTAATCAAATAAAATTTGTTTGTCCTATTTGCAGGGTAATCCAAAAAAAAAAAGCCAAACAATATTTTTCCATAACAGAGAAGTCAGAATAGAAAGAAAAGCACAACAAAAGTACAAAAATCTTTGGAGTAAACTCAAATGGGGGGGGGGGCTCAGTTGGGCAATGGAATATGTGGTGGGGAGTGATCTGCGGTGCTGCTGCAGGGAAGCCAGATGCACCTGCATGGCAGCTGCAATCATGTCTCACCAGCTTAAAGTCTGTATTGGGCCGTGTGTGTGTGTGTGTGTGTGTGTGTGTGTGTGTGTGTGCAGCCGTTTGTTTGTGAAACAGCAAGCATAAGAATAAAGAGGCTGAAAAGCATGAGAATGTGGACAGGCACCACCACCACCCCAGTCTGCCAATCCACAGGTACCACCCCCTCAGGGCGGACCTCATCCACCCCAGAGGCTCTGCCGCCAAGGAGTTGTTGAACTGCCTCAAGCCATTTCCGCACTAATAGGTTTTCGTTTGAAAATGCATCTTTTTCTCTCTGTTTTGGCTTTCCGTCAACAATGAGATGGCGTTTTTGGTCAAGGAAAGCTGAGGTTTTTGAAAATGCTCTCCAAAGTGGATAAATTTGAAAATGCTGTTTTCGCGTCACAGTGTGGACTGCAAAAACGGAGTCTTTCGAATATGATGATGTATTTTTGTCATATGATGCAGTCATGTGACCAATTCAACTAAGATGACGGACGGCATTTTACAGCAGTTGTTTTGTTTGCTCTCAATTTGGACAGCCCTATTAGATTAATATCAATTTGTACATGCTCCAGAAAGTTCTGGATAAAGTATTTGTCCTCGACATCTTACCGGAAAGTAAATAAACAGCAGACGGAAATGATGCAGGTCAAATTGTCTTACGTTTCACGCATGCGCAGTACAGGAATGTAGCATTTTCAATATGGATTAAAACAATTGAAACGTTTTCAAATTTATCCGGATTAGTGTAGTTATTAGGTTAGCTAGAGAGTTGGGATGCTGTGTAATACATGAATAAACCTAAAATACAATGGTTTGGACATTCTTTTGCATGTTTCCCTACTGTAGCGGTTTCCTCAAGCATACAGGACTCTTAGAAGGTACAAGATGACAACTTTGGAATCATATTTGTTTGTCAAAGCTGAACCCAGGGCAAACTACGCTAAATTAGCGTTTTTAGCTAACAGCTACAATAAGCATAAAAGTTGCTGTACGGCTATCATTTGTTAACATGTTCTTATACATGTAATACTTTTATTATCAACCTGAGAGTTTATCTGCAGGTCAATCAACATGACTTCTGAGGTCTTAATCCAGCTCAAGATGCTGTAGATTCCCGTCAGTAACAAGCTGGTAAAATGGAGTTCTATTAACCGGAACCAGATTAAGTCCCAAAAAACTGAATTTTGGAACTGAAATTGAATTGTAGAACTGAAACATAATTAGGGATGGGTATCGTTTAGGTTTTATCCGATACCGGTGTCAAATCGGTACTTTTGAAACGGTGCCGGTGCTCAAACCGGTGCTCAAACCGGTGCTTAAAGAATGGAGAACACAAAATTGGTCCAAAAACCTCTCATGTTCAGCTGTTTTTTGTAAAAATATAACAATGTTAGCCTTTTCTGCAGCTATGGGGCATATATGGTATCACTCTTGGCTGGAAGCAGTGCTTAATCAATGGAAAAAAACACAAACTTTGTCCTAAACCTCTCATGTTTAACTGTTTTCCACTTTTTCTTTGGTCATTTTAGCCTTTTTAGCCAGGGTGAAGGGAGTATCTGCCATCAAACAAGAGGACAGCCGCATGTAGCTATGATGATGTTTGCTAGTTCACCTTACATGCATTAATGTAATAACGTGGTTAGCCTACTCAACGTAAATTAGCTACTCACGCAGAGAAGAACGGCTGCTGCCACCATCATCCGTCATCATTTCTGCTACACTGGCAGGGCTAGGGGCCAGGACTCTCCTCTTCGTGTTTTTGGGGGATGTTGCATAACAGGCAACCCACCCGCAGTAGATGTGCTCGGTGTGAGGTCTCGCAGCAAGCTATCAAATACAGCGCATTTCTGGGCTTTTAAAAAAAACGCTATGCGTCGCCAGGTGTTTCATCGAATTTGAGGTGTTACCTCCTTTGACAGTATCACAGTATCAGCTTCAAGCACTTGTTGCAGGCTGCTGAGTTTGCATCTTTTGCTGTGAAGTACAGTCAGACTTCTGACCGCTTCGCCTTGGACATTTTTAATCTGTAGCTCTGCTCTAACAGAACGTACGTACCTGGCCCCGCCTACTATCCTCGGAAACGTAAAATGATTGGCTAGAATCTAAAGTGTATCACAGCTCAGGAAAAAAAAAGCACCGAAATAAAGCACCGAAATGTGCGCTGCTTTTCGGTCTGGTTACTACCGTTTATGTCAGAACCGGTGCCATCATCCCTAAACATAATAGTGAGAAGTGAAACTGAAATTATTCGAGAGCTACTTTTTAAAGGATAAAATACAGTTTCAAAGAAAATTAATTCATTTTCAAAATATAAAATACAATTTCAATTTAATGACAATCTTTTTTTCAGTTTGTGGTGTAGCTGCAACATGATCAGCGTTATTGCTGTGTTTGACAGTAAACTCTAGTTTTAGCTTAGGCTATGTGTTGGTCTTCTGCTGCTCACCTGGTGTGGATGTTATCCTGTTGGTACAGTTTTGTGTAACCGTCTGCTTCTCTTGACCAAACCAGATGATTGTTGTTCTTCTTTAACTCCTTTGACATATTAGCCTTGTGTAATGTATGCTTATGAAATCTCATGATGTGAAACCTTTACAAGTCAATTTCATATGCTGTTAATATGTAAAGCAATCATCTCTTTATTTCTAACTAAAGAGTCAAACTCCAATAAACTGTCAATGTATAAAAATACTTGTAGTTTAAAGATAACGCAAGCTCAATATCAATATCTGTGTTTCAGGTTTACCTCCAGGCATCCGAAAAGTGATTGTTGGTGAAGAAGAGAGGCAAGAGTGGAGCTCCAGTCTGGACCAGGAGGACCCAAGCATTAAAGAGGAGCAGGAGGAAGTCAATATCACCCAGTTCACCTTTAGTGCTCTCCCTGTTAAGAGTGAAGAGGATGAAGAAAAACCTGGATCTTTACAGCCTCATCACAGCCAGACTGAAGACATTAAAGATTCTGTCGGATGGCCAGATCCTGATCCATATCTGCAGCCTGATGAGAAGACTTCAGACACAGATGTCAGTGATGCCGACTGTGAGCAGCCCTGTGAACCTGCACTGCCTCAGATGCAATGTGACAATGATGAGAAACCATTCAACTGCTTTGTGTGTGGGAGAAAATTTGGTCATCGCAGAAATCTTAACAGGCACCTGAGAACCCACACTGGAGAGAAACCCTTCATCTGCTCTCAGTGTGGGAAAAGATTTGTTGACAGTGGAAACCTGCACAGACACGTGGGGATTCACACAGAGAAGAAACCGTTTAGCTGTTCTGAGTGTGGCCGAGGTTTTAAAGACAAGTCTACTCTAATGAACCACTTGAGGACTCACACGGGCGAGAAACCATTCAGTTGCCCGTTTTGTAGTAAAACCTTCACACACAGTGGCAGTTTGAAACAGCACCTGAGCATTCACACAGGAGAGAAACCCTACAGCTGCCCAGAGTGCAATAAAACATTCAGTCGTAAAACAAACTTGAAGACTCACATGAAGATCCACACTGGTGAGAAAAGTTTCAGCTGTGGCTTCTGTCACAAAACGTTTACTCGGAAGCATCACATGCAAGACCATCAGCGTGTCTGTCGTTCTGCAAACCGTAGACCATCCAGAAACCAAATTCTGATGCCTCGCCCTCTAAGCACTGGACTGGTAGTGCTTGTGTACCCAGCATCTCTTTCTAAAAGTACCACTGAGTGATGGAAACCATTGTGGCATCAAATGAGAGAGAGAATAAAGCCAAACCTCCGTAGGTGGCCAGAATATGGCTTTTAGTGAAAGAGAAGATATTTGATCTTTTAAGTTGTTTTAGACTTCAAAGATCAAATGTCTTGAAAGTAGAGTTCCCGTAGTTTGTGGTGAAACGTGATCCATCTTTAGTAGTTTTGTTAGAGCTGTGTTTTGTGTGGTATGGAGGACCACAAGAGCCACGCGCATCGAAATAAATGATTCTGTGTTTAAATAATGAATTGTAGAACAAAATCTGCATTTGTAAGTTCATTTTTGAATTCCAATTTAATAAACTGATTTTTAAAATGCTTTTTAAGTCTTCATTTCAAAAACATTTTCGAATTGCACTTTAATCAACTGCATTTCAAAATCCATTTCCCTTTCCTGTTTCCCGGCTCTTTAGGCTCCGAACCGGCTCTTCAGGTTGTTTTGTTGCTTTAATTAATTTATTATTAACAATAATATAAAATTATGCACAAAAGGAATTACTATTGTAAAAAAAGAAAGTGGTTTTATTTATATATGTTTATATATAAATATATACAGTGGCCCCTAGAGACAAAACGCGTACAAACTCCAAAACACATTTCTAGCATGAACTGAGCTTCCAAAACAGAGCTACCTAGATCACTTAAAGTACACAATTGAAAGCATGTGTGTATTGTTTGTGTATTTATACACAAGCATTCATATATAGTCAAATAATAAAAAATAAAAAAAATGTTCATTTACCTGTTATTACCACACACCAAATCCGGTCGTTGGTACTTGCTGGCTTGTGTAGCCACTAGGTAACAAAAGCTCAACACTGCGCCTAGCATCCTGGAGCACTTCTGTTGTGTTTTGTACGTGTTTTGAGTTTTTATGTGCTTCTGAGTTCGTACGTGCTTCAGAGTTTGTATGTGCTTTGTCTGTAGGGGCCACTGTAAATATGCTTTTATTTATTCACTCCACATAAAATGTAATAAATAAATCATATAATACAAAAACCAACTATTCACATTTCAACTTTTAACTATTTAAATTTTCAGCTTTTTCCTTTTACAAATTTAAAGTGAAACAACACAAAACACTGCAAACCACAACACAATTAAACATAAATTATAATATGAAAACAAACATAAGATGCACATTCTCTGTCATATGGGCCTGCATGAATAAACTTTCTGAATCCTTTATCATCTTCAACTGAAAATAGTTGTGGATGATTACTATACCTTTATAATGTGACGTTGTTGTCCCTGGCACTCTTTCTCTCTCCCTCCCACTCTGTTCCTGTGCTATTGCGATTGTAACTACCGCCCCTCCCCCTTCTGCCCAGCGCAAGCACAAGGCTCACGTGCAGAGTGAAGCGGAAAAAAAGTGAGAGAGAGAGGGTGAGAGAAAGGGGGGGAAAAAACCAAAAAAAAACCCCCCACAGCTCCCAATAAGGAGCCGGCTCGTGTGGTTCACTTCAAAGAGTCGGCTCTAAGAGCTGTTTGATTCGCGACCAACACATCACTATATTCTAACCCCTGAGGTTTGAAGAAGGAAGAGGAGAAGAGCGCAGAGAATCGCCCATCCTGGAAGATTAGTTGTTTAACTGTAAAGAATGTCAAAAGCCCCTCAGACAGAGGTTCTAGTCTGAGCACAAAGGTTAAAGCAGGAAACAACCAGAATAGGTGATCTAAGAATTAGCCTTAGTAATAGTCTGTTATTTTTATGTTATGACAATTGCCCAAACACAGCAGTCATCTCATATATGGTTAAAGGGGGACAGAGGGCCTAAGAGGGAAAAGAAGCATAGAGAACTGACACCTGGTGGGCAAAAAGGGTCTGTGTGTAATGTCTGGAGAGATGAAAATGGTAAATGGCCTGTATTTGTATAGTGCTTTACTTAGTCCCTAAGGACCCCAAAGCGCTTTACAGTACATTCAGTCATCCACCCATTCACACACTGGTGATGGCAAGCTACATTGTAGCCACAGCCACCCTGGGGCGCACTGACAGAGGCGAGGCTGCCAGACACTGGCGCCACCGGGCCCTCTGAACACCACCAGTAGGCAACGGAAGTTGAAGTTGCTAATCCAAAGGTTAATCCCTAAGCCAACAGGAAAGGCAAATGGATTTTGAAATGAGTGGAATTGGTAATTTAAAAAGAATTTTGAAAATCTGTTTATTAAATTGGAATTCAAAAATGAATTACAAATGCAGAATGTATTCTACAATTCATTCTTTAAAGACAGAATTCTTTATTTCTATGCCAAACTCATAAAGATTAAATTTGCATAACGACCAAAACTAGCACCACTGGTTAAACGTGGGCCAATTGAGTGTCATCAGGACGCTACAACACAGAGAACACCATCCCCACAGAGAAAGCTAGGAAAGCAGAAGAACTTCATATCAAGAAGCCCTGAGTAAATGTGGTTATCCTAGCTGGACATTTGTCAAAGATGGGAAGGCGCCTAAAGAATGCTCCAGGAGGGAAGGCCTAAGGGTACATCTTTCACTATTTTACAATGCTTTGATTGCAACCATTTCCCAACTCTCTGTGTATGGTACTTGCAGCCATTTATTTATAATCAAGAAAATTTGCATATTAATGATCATTAAACTGACCCCATGGCCCATTGTTAATCAGTGGTGCTAGTTTTGCTCATTATGTGATATTTCAATGTGATATTTATAAGGCTGGGGAAACCAGCAGTCAGCTAAGACTGAAGTCACTTGGACGAGTGACAAAACGTTTCTCCCACTTAAAACGCTACCTCAAGATGAGCAGAATGAACTTTTGGGATTGTTTTAATTATATTTGTGAAGTATACTTGATGCAGATGTAGATTGCTGAGCCAAATCCCTACGACAGCAAAGAGAAGAATTCTAGCCACAGCAAGGTCCCACTGGATGCATAAACCCGTGATTGCGGACAATAATAATAAAAAACCAGAAAGGATCACAGCCGGCTCTAGCATCCTTAAATAGTCCAAAGATATCCAGTTAGAGGGTGAACTGGTAATTCTAAATTGCCCATAGGTGTGAATGGGTCTTGTTGTTAGCCATGGCACAGAATGGTGATCTGTCCAGGGATACACTGCCCTACGGCTGGGAAAGGTTTCAGCCTCTTGTGACCATTAATTAAATAAGTGGAAGTGGATGGATGGATAGTTTTTCCTATTATTATTTGGAGAAAAAGAAATCTGAAAATGTTTAAAAAACAAACTGTCAGCTGTATGTGTATTGAGGATGAGGAGGCTATGACCTTTCTCACATTAACATGTGTCTACTTCTGTTACTGAACACAAAGCCACTCCTCTTTACAAACTCCCAAACAAATATAGACAAAAACAGAACAAAAACGGAAAATGTTTTATTTAGATTAGCAAATTTCATATTTCCACTTTAAATATCTATTGATCAACTATCAACTCCACATTCGTGTCAAAGGCCCTGCCCATCCAGCTACACAGGATGTGAAGCTTCAAAGAAAGGACCAGAACTCTGCTGCATTAAATTAAGTACTGAATAACTTTATTTAGGGATGTGAATCGAGAACCAGTTCTCAAAGGATGAGAGCGTGATGGTAAAGTGGAGACCACTTCAGGACAGAAACAACTGCATTATACTGTTAACAAAACTCCGGCAGCATGCTAACACTAAGCTAACAAGAACCCCGAGTGATGTTAAAGCTGAGTAAATGCTGACCCCAGCCCACACAACTTGCAGCCTCCGTTTTTACTGGTTCATGTTTCTAAAGTAGAATCACTTTAAGGTCTCTTTGTGAAAACCTTTAAGGTTTTCATCTTTGCTTTGTGCTGTCCACATTAGGATAGGGATTTGTGTTAGTGTGTCGGGCTGTAGCCTCAGGTTTGTATTGCTAATTATGATACAGTGTGTTGCAGATTATTTTACAGACTAACATGACAGTAACGTAACGAGTAGTATAACAAATGTCTTTCTCCTGGGTGTAATTAAGTAACGTACTGCATTACTTTTAAAATAAAAGGGTTCTGTGTAATATGAGCAAGAATGACTGAGTATTGACCCTAACACTGATCAAAACAATGAGAGGAAACACCTGCAACATGCACACACATTTGACATCTGAGCATGTAATAATTTTGGGTGACTGCAGTGTCTTTGATATGCTGCTTAGAGATGGTGGTGACTCACAAAGTGGAGCCAAAGAGAATGGATAAAGGAATCGATAAGGAAACGAATTTATAAGTGATATTAATAATGGAATCAGAATTGCAAAATTCTTATCAATTCTCATCCCCTAACTTTATTGATCCAAACGTTTTAGCAAAGAACCAAACAACCAGAAAAAAGGAAGAAAAAAAAAAGAAGAAGGTGAGAGCTGCTGGTTACCATGGCATTGAAAACAGGAAGCAGAAACAATAGCCGCAATCCATCTTCTCCAATCTCATTAATTCTAATGATGTCGCGGACATGACTCCACCCCTTGACTTGACTGGTTCCTGTTTATCATATTTCTTAGGGCAGGGCATGTCAGCCATCCTTGTTTCTGTGCCAAGACTTTCTGTTTCCTATATTTGTTTCAAATTTAGAGTTAAGTGTGAAAACAGTCTCTGCAGGTCCATTTGCCCTCTACTGTTAAGACACCACTACAGTCATAGTTCTTGTCCAGGTATCCTAGATGGACTCAATCTGGCGACGGACCTTCTCAGAGGCAAGGCGGTCAAGTCGTCGCTGGCGGATGACAACGAGGACGGCGAAGAGGGTTGTCAGAGCCAACATGGCCGCCTCAAACTTCCAGAACAGATGTTCTTCCATGAGAACAGAGCGGCAGCTGAATAGGAGGAGGAAGAAAAATTAGTACCTTCATTGACGTCAGTTCCTGTAGTGACGATTAATCTATGGCTTATGGTGCATGCTCATCTATTAGCTGATGAGTCCATAAAGGGTTCAAAATATTCTGATGTGATGTGAAAGTTATTCATGAACCATGTGTAGCCTAGTCCATAAATGACTATAGCAATTAACTCTCTGGGGTCTAGGGTATAATTGGCCATTTTTGACTATTTTTGATTTGTCTTGTTTGGAATCATTCTTTTCAGCACAATTTCAAATGTCTGAATTTACAGTTATTTCATTTTGACATACTGTATTAGCACGATTGATCTAAATTAAGACAAAAAAGATCACATCAGAGTAGGAAAAAAAAAGTTCTATTTTTCACTGTAAAAACCAAAGAAGAATGTTCAATGAATCATTTTCATAACTTGGAAATGCAAATAGTCGTAACAATAGAAATTGTAATTTTTTTAAAATTATGCACAGGTTTTGGAAAAAACAAAGTTATATGC